AAACAAGAGGGCCATGATGTCCATATCTCACTCACCTGTTTCATCTGACCTTTGGCTTTTGTCATGGCCAAACTCCTTCCAAGTTTATGATTGTCAAGGTTAATTTGACCCCGGGGTCATGATTTGAACAATATTGGTAGAAGTCCACAATTCAATGCTACATGCCAAATATCTAAGCCCTATGCCTTGTGATTCTTAAGAAAAAGATTTTCTAAGATTTCCCTTGGTATGTCTATGTAAAAATCAAGTGGCCCCTGTGCCAAGGTCAATTTGATCCCGGAAGTCATGATTTCGACAATCTGGGTAGAGGTCCACTTGTCAATGCTACATGTAAACATCTAAGCTCTGGGCCTTGGGATTCTTAAGAAGAAGATTTTTCTAAGATTTTCCTATATAACTCTATGTAAAATCAAGTGGCCCCTGTGTCAAGGTCGATTTGACCCCGGGGCTCATGATTTGAACAATCTTGGTAGAGATCCACTAGTCCATAGGGTGAAAATAGGGTGGGATTATCAAAAATATGAGTGAACCCCCATCCCCCTCTTAGAATAGTCACTGAGGATGCGAGTTCGAGACGTAGATCTAGCTCCGATTACTTTTTTTCTCTCTTTTGTAAACCCAACAAAAAAACCACCCCCTCTTTTTATCGACCCAACAAAAATAATCCCCTTTAAGATTTTAGAATATTGGTAAACCAAACAAAGTGTTGGACTGACATAAAAAAATGAGGATTCTCAGTGCGGACAGATTCTAAATCTGTATCGATACCTGAAAAAGGCGGCCTATGTAAATTTATGCATGATTATAAAAATATAGTGTCAAATAAACTTAAATCTAAAGGAAGAGTACTTACTTTTGAAAAAAAAATGAATTGGAACTCCTGTAACTCTCGCCACCTTTACTCTGAACGGAAAAGGCCCTAAGAGCCATGAATTTCATGAATTCGCGATTGCATTATTTCACGATTTCACTTTAAAAAATGAAATCGTGAATTCGTGAATTCATGATTTCACGATTTCATTATTTCATTTATTCAGGTTGTTAAAGAGAAATCGTGAAATTATGAATTCACGATATAAAAATTCAATATTTCACTCTAAAAATAGTGAAATATTAAAGTCTTGAAATCATGAATTCGTGAAGTGAAATGTCACCACCGGTCTTTCGTACCTTGCAGACAAATTTATTAAGTATACATGTAACGCTTAGAACCCGGATGTAGACAAACCAAGTGTATATTTTGTAAACGGTGGTGGATTATTTACTTTGTACATTTACGATAAACCTTGACAGAATGCTCGCGTTTATTTGATGCTTGCCATATTTATTAATGACAACATTGTATTTCAGTTTTTTTTAATAAACATGTTTATGCACATTTAATTGTTTGAATTCTTCACAAATTTAATAATCACGTCGGACGTACTTAATTCAATAAAACAGCGGATATTGTGACAGTTTTTATCTCTCGTTTTATAACATTCATCGCAAATTGTAATAAAGTGAAAGACAGATCAGTATAAACTTTTCTTTAAAATTATTTTTTGCTTGACATACTGTTTGTCAAAAATTGACTTTTTGAATGCTATGAACATTCATCTATAGTCGATTTAAAATGAGTTTTGTACGTATATTTATATTGACTCAATTAGGTGCATTATATCACCAATTTATAGCAGGAATATAAACCGTTCTTTAATATTATTATAGCCAATGGCATATTTTGTGCCTTTGAAATGGTAAACTCTAGAAACAACATGAATATCGTGCTTTCAAAACTAACATGCAATGATATATTTTCGTATTTTGTGTAACTTTCGGCGAAGAACTTTTTAAACAATTGTGCTTCATGTAACGTTGACAATACGGTCATATTTTAGTTTTTGTATTTAACCATTTTTGCAAGTTATCCCCGAGACGAATGGATTTAATATGATGTATGAGGAAATGTGTAAGTGTAAATGATACCTAGGGCTGATACACGATGCTGTTTCATATTGCCAAATAAAATAATTATATTGGTAAGCTAATATATATCAATGCCAAGCTGAAATATTGCCAGGCTGTTGTTGTGGAATAAGATGTTAGGCGAGACTTATGTCTTTGATGTATAATATTGCCAGCATATTGCTAGGCGGATATATCATAAGGTTAAAGAGTTATAACTGAAGACCTGTATATTGTAAGGTAGAGTTATAACTGCAGACTTGTATATTGTTGGGCAGATATAAAACTGCAGACATGTATATTGTTAGGCAGATATATAACTGTAGACATGTATATTGTTAGGCAGATATATAACTGCAGACATGTATATTGTTAGGCGGTTATATAACTGCAAACCAGTATATTGTTAGGCAGTTATATAACTGCAAACCTGTACATTGTTAGGCAGATATATAAGAGCAGATCTGTATATTGTTAGGCAGATATATAACTTCAGACCTGTATATTGTTAGGCAGATATATAACTGCAGACATGTATATTGTTAGGCAGATATATAACTTCAGACCTGTATATTGTTAGGCAGATATATAACTTCAGACATGTATATTGTTAGGCAGATATATAACTGCAGACATGTATATTGTTAGGCGGTTATATAACTGCAAAACCAGTATATTGTTAGGCAGTTATATAACTGCAAACCTGTACATTGTTAGGCAGATATATAAGAGCAGATCTGTATATTGTTAGGCAGATATATAACTTCAGACCTGTATATTGTTAGGCAGATATATAACTGCAGACATGTATATTGTTAGGCAGATATATAACTTCAGACCTGTATATTGTTAGGCAGATATATAACTTTAGACATGTATATTGTTAGGCAGATATATAACTGCAGACATGTATATTGTTAGGCAGAGTTATAAATGCAGACTTGTATTTTGTAAGGCAGATATAAAACTGCAGACATGTATATTGTTAGGCAGATATATAACTGTAGACATGTATATTGTTAGGCAGATATATAACTGCAGACATGTATATTGTTAGGCGGTTATATAACTGCAAACCAGTATATTGTTAGGCAGTTATATAACTGCAAACCTGTACATTGTTAGGCAGATATATAAGAGCAGATCTGTATATTGTTAGGCAGATATATAACTTCAGACCTGTATATTGTTAGGCAGATATATAACTGCAGACATGTATATTGTTAGGCAGATATATAACTTCAGACCTGTATATTGTTAGGCAGATATATAACTGCAGACATGTATATTGTTAGGCAGAGTTTATAAATGCAGACTTGTATTTTGTAAGGCAGATATAAAAAATGCAGACATGTATATTGTTAGGCAGAGTAATAAATGCAGACTTGTATATTGTTAGGCAGATATAAAACTGCAGACTTGTATATTGTTAGGCAGATATATAACTGCAGACATGTATATTGTTAGGCAGATATATAACTGCAGACATGTATATTGTTAGGGCAGATATATAACTGCAGACATGTATATTGTTAGGCAGATATATAACTGCAGACATGTATATATTGTTAGGCAGATATATAACTGCAGACATGTATATTGTTAGGCAGATATATAACTGCAGACATGTATATTGTTAGGCAGATATATAACTGCAGACATGTATATTGTTAGGCAGATATATAACTGCAGACATGTATATTGTTAGGCAGATATATAACTGCAGACATGTATATTGTTAGGCAGATATATAACTGCAGACATGTATATTGTTAGGCAGATATATAACTGCAGACATGTATATTGTTAGGCAGATATATAACTGCAGACATGTATATTGTTAGGCAGATATAAAACTGCAGACTTGTATATTGTTAGGCAGAGTTATAAATGCAGACTTGTATTTTGTAAGGCAGATATATAACTGCAGACATGTATATTGTTAGGAAGATATATAACTGCAGACTTGTTGGGCAGATATAAAACTGCAGACATGTATATTGTTAGGCAGATATATAACTGCAGATTTGTTGGGCAGATATATAACTGCAGACATGTATATTGTTAGGCAGATATATAACTGCAGACATGTATATTGTTAGGCAGATATATAACTGCAGACATGTATATTGTAAGGCAGATATATAACTGCAGACATGTATATTGTTAGGCAGATATATAACTGCAGACATGTATATTGTTAGGCGGTTATATAACTGCAAACCAGTATATTGTTAGGCAGTTATATAACTGCAAATCTGTACATTGTTAGGCAGATATATAAGTGCAGACCTGTATATTGTTAGGCAGATATATAACTTCAGACCTGTATATTGTTAGGCAGATATATAACTGCAGACATGTATATTGTTAGGCAGTAATATAACTGCAGACCTGTTCATTGTTAGGAAGAGTTATAACTGCAGAGCCTGCAACATTTTAAATTTTGGCGTTTTGGGAATTCCGTGTTTCTCTATTTTATACAATATTTCACGACTGACATATTGTGAAATTTGTTACGGATATTTTCAGGAAAACTTTATTTTAGAATTGTTAATCTTATTGCCAAACTATATTTTCAAAGTTGTTGATAATAACGGCAACATAATGATATAATGCTAGAACTGATAAATATTATTTATTGCTATCAAAGAAATAATCATAGTCGCTGATACACTATATTGTATGTTGTGTTTTTAATGTTTCAAATTAAAATAACTTGTAAAATTGCATTGATATCTTTATATATTAGAATTTGACATGTTAAGCTATGTTTGTTATATATTGACGCATATGCGGTCAGAACATCATAAAAGTTATTTGCCAATTTTTTCAGATCGCTAACTTTGAAACGTGAATAAGGCCTTTAAAGTATTGCCGTGTATTCACATTAGTTCGTTGCAACAGTGTAAAGTTTTGGTGCCTTTTTGTATTAAAAGTTTCAAGAAAGTTATGATGAAGAGGCATGTAAAATAACAGCACGTCTTTAACTTGTTTATCTAGCCAGCTTAAAATTTGGGACAAATGTTTTGAAATAACATTTCTGTTGTGAAATGGTTTCACTTTTGAGGTATAACCGCAAATACCTAATAGTGGTTTCAACCCAATGCATTAAAGTGTGTGAGGGAGTATTTTTATGTTAACTTTGCTAAACCATGACTTTTATATGAATCACATTTAGTGTACTTATTTTACAGGTTTATAAGATGTCAATAATCATGTCTGTTTTTGTTGTTGCTTTTAAATACGAATAAACATTTCAACCTGTTTTCGCTGTCCCATATATCCCATTGAATATCAATATTGTTACTTATAGGCACATTATGCACAAGGAATTAATCTTCTGTTTTTTTCTTTCTTCATCAAGGGCAAACGTATTGGTTACCATGGACTAAAATCTTGTGAAATTATATGTGATAAAGCTTGAAAAAATGTAAACAAAGTGGCATTTTGACTGCCATACAAAATACCCATTCATTAATACTGCCCTGAATGCCGAAACTACGAAAGAAGCAAGTTTTTCAAAGAAGGCTCAGATATAAAAGTTGAACTTTGGACACCCAAATAGGAAACAACAAATAATAATAAAAGCATATTTAGATAATGGGTCTTCATCAAAATGAATGATGTTCGTTTACATGTACTATAAAGTATATAAAGGCAAACCCATACACTTTCAGATAAATATTATGCATTTCAAATCTTAACTTATAGACACACCAATATCAATTTAATTCAGTCATCAGCTTTTCAATGTGACGTTTATCGTTCTATCTGGCTTCTAAACTTTTAAATAGTCTTGTTGCCGAATTATTGAACTTTATTGTATTATATATTATATGTTCTTGCATTTCAGACTGCTACATCCGTTAGTTTTACCCATGCCGGAAATTTCATCTGGCATGGGGATGATAGATGAGTGGCGTGCTATACGTACTAAAACATGCTTAGTATGTCATTGACGTTATTTCGGCGTTTGAATGAAGTTGTTATTTCATACGTTTTTGTAAGAAAATAGTTACGGGTGAAATGAGATAAATTTGAAAATTGTTTTATTAAGGGTAACAGTTTAAAATACATGTATGATGGAATATGGTAGAATATGGAATAAAAAATATCTGCGCGGATCAAAATCCGTAACGTTTTCCAGGAACTCCGTGACAGTTATTAGAAGAACTCATGACAAGTTATCATAATAACTCCATCTTTCATGTAACAGTTCTTCCGCCGTGATACTTTATGCCCTCATTATTCATAACAGTAAGTATTTCACAATACATGACGTAGAGAATTGTGTGGATTGCGTACCACATCGCCGCACGTTGTAGGCTACAATGCGACCTAAAATGCGTTAATAAACCTGTTTTTGAATATAGTTATAAATATATCATTCACAACAAAAAATCATTGAAATTGCTCTAATCCTTTGAAACTTAAATATGCTTAAAATGCATTTATAATTTTATACAACTAAATCGTATGATTGTATTTCTCTTGTCTTTTTGTGTCTAAAACATATGATAATGTAGACTTATATTAATACTTTGACATTCCTTACATATTTAGCAATGATAGCATAATGTCGAATGTACCTACGCTGAATTTTCCCCTTGCATTATGACTTTATCTATAGTGATAATGCAAGTAATCTATAGTGATAATGCAAGTTAACTTCTTCCATAATACTTCTGCAAATCTTTGCCACTTTGAGTAACAAATCCGATCCTGACACACATATCGTTCAATTCTATTCATTTATGCCTTAGAACAACACGTATATATTTCTTTAGATAGAGCAAACGTAAGTATTGTAACTTTAAATTAGGGGCATTGGAGTATGCTTTTGTTTACCAACATTGACCTGAGACATTTGAATATCCAATGACCTTTTAATGGTAATTATCAGATTCTGAAGTAAACCATAGGGATATTTAAATGAATGATGAAACGATGTATAAAATTAGAATTGCCAGAAATCACTTGCCTTACTAGCACCGCTGCAATTGAAGTCCAAATGAAATTATTTGTTTTTCTGGTATGAATTTCATTATATTTTGCAAAACTTGACCTTGTGTGTTGTGCATGCGTATCACTATGTAGAGTCATATATATTGAAATTAATTAAATGGAAAAAATATGTATTTATCATAATTATGAAATTCAAAAATGCATGAAATGAAACACACGATTTATCAAATATTTCAAATAATTGAAAGAAATAATAAAAACACAATCAGTTTATGAAAACTACGAAAAAGGTTTGTCCCAGGTACGAAGTCACAATTTCGTCGTACTTACTACTTAGGCCATCGAGCAGTTCTTAATGATTTGATATCGAGATCTATACTGTTATTAAAATCCTAAGCATAAATCATAATAAATAACGAAAACTAACGAAAACCTTCCCTCACATTAATGAGTCTCAGGTCAATATTACCTATCAATAGATGTTACCCGAATGAAGTAGCACTAAATACAAAATTTTTCCAACGTTATAAAATAATAAGTCATAATGGGACTTAAAAGTGCGTTGAACAAGAACCCAAACTCTATAATGATTTCATAGAAAAATGCTAAGGACTTTTTGCAATCATACGATGACTCCGTCGAACAGACATTTCATCATAGTTTTATGTGTATTGTTTAGTCCAACAGTATTTAAGCTTTTCTAAAGGGTATAAGGTATATGCCTCCTGATGAGAAAAACGTTTAATACCACATTCCTAGTGTATCAGTTCAAATAAAGCAACAATAGCCAACACAGTGTATTTGTGCACTTAACCTACAGGTATGTAAACTATCACAACGTTTTCCGCATGATCAACACAAGGCTGACTGTTAAATAAGGAATGCTTTGTAAGTTTTTGTGAGTGCATTACTTTTAATAAACATTTTGCAATATGCATGTATATTAGATATATATCGGACTAAATAATATCCGGGTGAGAAAGATTTTAATAAAAAAGTTGGAGATAGTTGCGAAACTATTATGTAATGGGTTAGGTGTAGTCATGCTTACAAACTTGTGAAGGTAAAATGTACCTGAAAGACTGATATTTTAACATTTAGTATGATATGAAATTTCGTAATTCAAGCAGCAGAAATGTAAAATCTTGAGTTGAAAAAGTTTTATACAATACGAAATTGTTTACACATACAAGCCATTTGAAATGAATGCATTTCATATTTGATATAAGCATATGTTAAATCATATTATTAAAAGTATCAACCGTACATGCCAAATTTCAGTGGCCTTATTATTCTAATTTATTTTATCGCGAATAATAATGACAAATACAGCTAATTTTTCCTGTCATATATATGTTGATGTATGTATCATACACTGCATTGCTTCTGTTACACTAAATATTTTCAAATTAAAATAACAAAGTGTCCTGCATCCCATTTCATCAACTAGATATCCTCCTGTATACTATTTCTTTATCTAGATATCCTCCTGTATACTATTTCTTTATCTAGATATCCTCCTGTATACTATTTCTTTATCTTGATATCCTCCTGTATACTATTTCTTTATCTAGATAATCCTCCTGAATACTATATCTAAATTGAACAGAAAGCTCAATGTATATTAACATTCGTATCTGACAGATAGTGGGGTTGACACCACTAAAATCATCATTAGTGAAATTGACATCTAACGGTTAGCAACTATAAATATCTTCTTCAGTATCAAAATTGTTTCTTATACTTATTTGTTAGTTTGGCTACGTTCATGTCGAAACAGACTAACTCTAGTCCACTAAAACTTTACACTGCCTTTCTAAATAAATGATACACGGTGTTGGTACGAACACTTCTATAGAGCGATGCTTAAGCCGGCATAAATAATTCGTGACCATTCTGTAAGCTGGTATAAAGAGTTCTATATAAGTGATAACTATATCGGTTAGAAAACGAAAACAAAAATGTGTTATAGATTCATCGTCATTAGTTCATCAAAATAAGAGATGCATTTGTCGGTATCTCAACATTTCTTTGAGTAAAACAAACACCAGTGTAATGCACCATGAAATAATGATCCCCGGTCATTATTCTATATAAAAAGTAACCACTTTCCCATAGAATACTGACTCCCTCTAAAGAGAAATAACTCCCTCAGAAACATATAGAATATTGACCCACATCTAATCGATATTCAAGAGATAAATTAATTTTTGGAAGCTGATCTTGTTGTTGCAATATTGTACTTTGACTCTGATGTGACCTTGTCTTTTTTATTTACCGAAATCCTAGTCTTATACGGTAGAAGCTTCTTTTCATGGTGCTTGTTCATAAGAGATAGTAAAAATGTGAACATATCTCATCCAAGTCCCCTCCCCTACCCCCACTCTCCAAAAGCACAGATGTGACTTCAGCTGTATTCAGTCATCAAGTGAAAGTATTGGAATTTATGATCCCAAAGAGATAAAAAATCTGAAAAAGAGTGATCCCTCAGAAGCCTTAATCACAATAAAATAACATAACATTGAGTCTTACATGAGAGAAATAATGGAAAAGTGCAACATCCCTCATGCCTCCTAGCACCGGCATGTGATCATGATAAGTAGTTCTCATTGTTTCCAAGTCATATGCAAAATTGTTTACTCTTTCACGCCTGGTAAATGATAGAGCTACCCCTTTCGGGGGTATACGGTAAATTGATCTATCGCTACTTTCGAGCTAGTGCATGTCGCTTTGTGTAATTAAGCAATGACGATGGGATTGAAATGATTTTGATGAAGATTTTGATAATGGATGTGATGATTATATGATTTTTTATGAAAGTACTGATAATCATAATGATGAAAAAGGCTATAATTTTACTCTTTACGATTATAGAAGTGATGATTTGATGATGATGATTTTTATGTTTATAATGATATTATGATGATTAAGATGATGATATTTATGCTGATAGCGATAATGATTATTGAGATTTTATAATGATACTGCAGGTGAAGATGATTTTCATGATATAGTGATGATGATGATGATGATGATGCTGATGATGATGACGATAATGATGATGATCCAGGTTGTGATAATCAGATTTTAATAATTATGATTGACGTGATGATAATTCTAATGATAATTATAATGGAAGTGATGATAGCTATGATTCTGATAAACACGATGATGATGTACATGAAGAGGATTTTGATGGTGGTGATGAAAGTGATCATGGTTTAAATACTGACGACACTGGAGGTGGTCAAGATTTAGATAATGATTGGCACGATGGTGTTTTCAGAAATTATGATGAACGATTTGATGACGATTTCGTTTGTGATAGAGGTGATGATATTTTCTCTGATGATAATGATGATGATGATGGTGTTGGTGATGATGCTGATTCTGACATTGCTGCTGATGCTTATGATAATGATGATGATGATGATGGTGGTGGTGATGATGCTGATGCTGATACTGCTGCTGATGCTGATAATGATGATGATTTATAAGGTGATATTAACTGTAATATCGGTAACAGTGATGAAAATTATGATTTTGATGATGATTATGATGATGATGATGATAACGCATATGATTATAATGAAAATGGTTTTGATGTGATGATATAGATTGTGAAGTAGGACGTTATGATGAGTGTAACCATGATAATGTTGATGATTGCGGTGATGATTATTTTGACTTTAATGATGATGATGATTATCATGATGATGATGAACATGACGAAGATGATGATGCAAGTTTAAATTCTTCTTGGTGTGTATGTTACTTTTTTTCAGCTTTATGGCGAGGTGGTTTATTCGTCGAAGCGGGGCATAACTTTTGAATCGATACATGTTGCTGACGACTAAATACCTTTGTATTTAATTAGGGCTTTATGCGTTTCCATCGCAACGGTTAAAGCTCTCCGGAGAGGGATATTTGTTGAGAGCTATATGCGGTATGGTGATCAAAAAATAAATAGCTAAATAAATAGCAAAGAAAGAAAATATATATAAACAAAGTTCCAAAATCAATTAAAGGAGTTTCTGATAGATTTTAAAAAAAATACTTAAAAATCTGTTTAATGACTGTAAATATAATATTTCAGCATGCCACTCGCATTAGGCGATTAGTATAGACTTATAAAGACTCGTTACTCATGATACACCCACTTATCTGAAACATATAACTGATTTTAACTGAGGGCAAGATGCTTTGGTTACACCTGGCCTTGTTAAACAGGTTTCTTGTGCGTGTCAACAAAATGTAAACCCATTTATAACACATATAGTGGTTTGTATTAAATATCATCTTTTGCTTATTGATTGTTTCTTTTCTTGAAGGACTTCATAATTATGTTATAAACATTCTGAAATTTCAAAATTGTTAACTGTTTTATGATTCATAAAAACATTAATATACTACGCTAATAGAAAACAAGAGGCCCATGATGGCCCTGGATCGCTCACTTAAGATATATTGCCAGCAAAGGTCACAATTCTTATGTTTCATTGTTAATGTCAGAAGTATGACTTTTATAACTTATATAGATTTCCATAAGGCAAAGCTCTATGCCAAATATCTAAGCTATTTGCAAAGTATTATCGCAATAGAATATAAATTAATTTTTCTATACAAGTCTTTACCAAGGTCAGGGCCGATTTTGACCCAAGTCGTTTGATTTATATAAGTTTTGAAGAGGATCACAAGATGATGCTTCATGCCAAATATCTTAGCTCAAGTATTGTTGATTATTAGAGTAGTAAAAAAACGGAATCCCTAAAGAACGCTGATTCATATATCTGCTAAAATGTCACATAGAAGAAACTTAAAAACAACAACAAACATGTATACCTAACTATAATGTCGTGCTGAACGATCTTCAAGTATCTAAAATATAACATCTTTGACTATATGTACGGGCGACATTTACGGCGCCCACACGGCACATATAACACTGATGTGACGACAAAATAAAGAAAAACGGAATCCCTAAAGAACGCCAAAGACGACAAAATTCAAAATGTTGCAGACTCGGTTTGATTGAGCCTGTTCATAGAAGCCTTTCAGGTATTACTACTATACAGGTTTCTATAAATGATGTGACCCCTTGGGCGGGACCGTTTTTGACCCAAGGGCCATGATTTATATATCTTTTGTAAAGGCCCAGTTTGCAATAATACATTCTAAATATTTAAGCAGTTTCATAAAAGAAAACTTAAAGACCTTTTCCTCATATAAGCCTATGTAAACTAAGTGACCCAAGGGTTTGGCAATATTTGACCCCAGGGACATGATTTATATCAATTTCGAAGGGGGCATGATTTATACCAATTTCGAAGGGGACAACAAGGTGGCGATATTGTCCAAAATTTAAGCTGTGGGCATTATGCTTTCTGATAAAGTCAATTTTAGCTCCTGTGACCGACTTAACTTTATATAACTTTGTAGAGGACCACCTACGAGTGATTCTTGATAAGTTAGGTCACAATCAACCAGGTAGTTAACGAGGAGCTGTTGTTCTAAGAAATTGTGAATATGACAGACACACCGCCATCACAAAAACTCACATGCTAGCACCTTGTGCTCAGGTGATCTTAAAAATTACTGATTATTTTTCTAGCACCAAAAAAATTGTTCCAACAATTCAGTATGAAATATAGTATCATTGAAAAGACTAACACATCTTTTAGATGCTTTATTTAACTGATAAAAGCTTATTCTTCGGTACACATACACAATATGATGGTATCTATGTTAAAGTATATTTAAGTTTTAAAAATATTTCAAGGCGTGTCATGATGAAAGTTTTAGTCACGAAATGCAACTATTTCATAATTCAAATAACAATATTGTACCTTGTATGTATTTCTGAAATAAAAACTACATTCTTGAACAATGAATAAATCAAATTATTATTTTAATACTTTTCTTTCTTTCTTTCTTTCTTTCTTTCTCTTTCTTTCTTTCTTTATTTATTTTGATATTGTTTGATTTTATTTACCTGTCAATTGCATACTAATAATACGGTCAATGCACACAATGTTCTAATCTGCGATAATTTTTCGGTAAGTTACGCGAGATGTATGCATTAAGATGTAATTCAGTATGACATAATTATACTGAGCGCCATAGTGCAATAAGTTAAACTTCGGGTTCATAATTTCAAGATGTCCTACGTCTTGTAAGATCGAAGCCGCGAAGGTCCATGTATTTTCTTAATTATATTTTCAACATTATTGCTTCATTTGATTGTTTTATAATATCCGTTTAGTTTCAATATGTTTGCACTTATCTTATAAAGTCCATACCCTTTTTGAATAACAATGTGTAAAAATTGAAATTCAATTTCATTTTATTTCATTCAGATTAAAATCAATAAAATTCATTTCAGTGTCATAAAACATAATACAAAACGACACAAAACAGGCTTTCTAAGTTGCTAAATATTCGAACTGAATTATTCAAACACTCGACCATTGCCACTAAATATACTGCAAAAATAAAGAAAGAGTAGGTCTAAAGCAATGTAAACAGTAGGGATCGGGCTACGGACATCTCATATATTAGGCCATCATATAACCGACTGTGCTTCTGCGGATGTAGCCTTTATAATATTAGTTATATACTCAATATTAATTGTCTTAAACTACACGGACAGAACCGAAGTGATATCGAATTTTAAATGAGTTCTGTCACATATTCATAATTGACAGGTCAATAAAATCAGACTATGCTAAACAACGGGTGCGTCTGTTCCGCTGTATGACGATGACGGTCTAAACACTTCTATTTTTTAAAAAACCCGCTTACTGGTTATAAAACCTTCAGGTAGTAAACTGATTTATACAAATTACATTGAGCGTCGAAGTAGAATATGCATGTTTTAGTGTCATTTAGTATCACGACAGACATCATGAAACTTAACGCTGTGAACACTTTTGTGATTTATGCTGTAGGTAAGTTATTTTAACCTATATTTACAAAGCGAGATATAGATCACCTATGCAAATAGTAGATACAGTATTATTATTTGCATTATGATTATAATGATATATTTTCAAAAAAATGCACTTCAATTAATGTATTGTAACATAACTTTAACCGATTCCGTGGTCGAGGGGTTAGAGTCGATGACTTCTAAGCCAGTTACCTCTCTGGCGTGAGTTCGATCCCCGGGAGATGCTTTGGTAGTTTAGCGCGGAGGAAGGTAGTCTAGTACTGGTGTAACTCTCCAGGAACGATGGTTAGGAAACTACCCGCCTATATGACTGAAATACTGTTGGGAAAAGGCGTTAAATGAAACAAACAAACAAATATAATCCATTTTATCAAACATTGTCATACCTGCAAACATGTCGAGCAGTACATGACATGTAAATTTATACCTTTAACGCATTCATCCATTTGTATGTGCCTCAATAAGGCTTGATTATTACGCAGGTGAACTCATTATTTTTACTGCTAGTAAAGAGTGAAATATTTTATTGTACTGTATTATGTTGTATTTAATTGTATAGTATTGTGTTGTGTTGTGTTGTGTTGTGTTGTATTAAACACCACTAATGATAAAGAAAGAAATTGATTTAGAATAGAACTATGATCGCATATTGATAATCTTATATCTATGGCAATGATAAAATGTGAAATGTGAAAAAATAAAGTAAAACAAACGCACATCAAATAACTGACACCTTCGCGTTAATCGATGCAGCCTATAGGAATACAATCGATTGACCGGTTCAACAGTGTTGTAAAATTGTTGATATTACACGCTTAAAGCAAGAAGCGTACAGGAGTACTAAATAAGGGAAGTTTGTGATTTAAGTTGAGACCCTATTGTTTAAATATAAAAAACCAAAGAGGATGCTTTACTCATTCGAGTTGCTTTTACTTGTCACGATTTTCAAAAGTAAAAATCGTCTTCTTGAACTATACATATATTTTCCTATTTACAGTGTTACATACATGTTTTATTATTACAAGTAGGTATGAACGCGTAAAAAATATATTTCTTAGGTATAAACATATGCACACCTTTATATATAGAGTTTAAACACTACCTATGTAGCTACTTTTACTATACTGCAATGCGTATCGTATGGTACACTGATTCTGCATATAACGTATAGAAGTATTACAAGTATATCAAAACAATCAATAACATGCAACTGTTGTGTTTTGCTTTTGTGTTGTTATTGTATTAAGTTTTGTCTTTTTTGTGTTTTACGCCGAACCAACACAGTATAGCTCATGTGGCGACCAACCGGTGATTAACTGTATATGTTACGATAAAACCCACGTTTCATTACACCATTTAAAACTTGGGACAATTCGTGTTGTGAACATACTTTTCAGAAGTATTAATTTCCTTTCTGTATTTTCACTGACTTCTTATTTACAAAAATAAACATTAAAAGCCAAGCATTTCTATTAACAACATTGGAGAATGAAAATTTAAATTAAAGTGAGTTTTTTTGCAATTGTTCTGACGGGAGACAGTTAATTCAAATTTAATCATGCAAAATTATTCTAGTTACCTCACCCACAGCGGTGAGGACAAGTGGATTGATGTCAGCGACTTAAACCACTCGACCACGGACGCCCCCTTATACAATTGCGTACACTTGTGTATTATTTAGGAACATTCATAAAGGACCAATATCATTGATGATTTACAAAATCAAAACCAAGGAAAGGTTTTACAAAAGTTTTTGATATTTGATATCTAGTCCATTAATGCAATGCTGCAAGAGAGCTATATTATTTATTGAATGAATAAAGTTTAACTTTTATATAGGCTTTAAAATGCCTCAGCATAGGCATATATAATTTTCTTAATTGTACGATATTGTACATGTATCAATTTTTACAACGATTCATACAGGTAAATTTCAAGTCAGAGAAAGATAGAATAAGTCAGCATAGTGTATTATCTTGTAAGAACACTGTGTAAAAAGGGACTCCATTGAGGTTTTTGTCATGATGGGGCTAAGAATATTTTTTTTCCAGATAAATGTACCATTTGATTAAGGTTTAGACCACAAATATTTGTGCAAAATTTCAGATCATTAGCGCACTTCATTTTTCCAGAGTAATTATTCAAATAGTATAAAAATGACCCAAAATGAAAAGCGTTTAAACGTTTTTCACTCAAATCGGGTAAGGAAAAGCATACAAATATATTTTTCAATTTATTTCAAAGTATATTTCTTAACTATCTTTGCTGTTTAAAGTGCCCCACATTATTTATGTAAGACTTCAAATGTTATGTTTTAAACCTCAGTGGAGTCCCTTTAAGGACCACCACACATAACATTTATTTTCATCAAGGACACTATATTTCATTAACTTATTAACTCATTGTTGAAAGACGCTTGCATGTGATTACAGTGACTTTGTTTTTCAAAACTCGCTGCAATTGCAAAATTGTTGGTGTATATTCATGCATTATTTTTAAGTCACTTAAGATAGTATAATGGCAGTTTTTATGGTGCGTTACCCGAAATTTGCATTCTATCCGAAATTGACATTTTTATTATTATGGTTACTTTTGAAAATTCGTTTTAATTATTTTTCACATCTGGCCACCGTTTACTATATTTTCACGGGTGACTACGCCAACTATGACAGTATGGTATATCAGTCTTTGACTCAGTGAAAATAAATTGTAATGTTGCATGTATGCATGCCACCAAGTATTCTTTCTTTTTCAAAGTTTTAAGTCTGTATAATTGCTCCAAACATTTAGATAATAAAAAAATCAAATTAAGTACAATAAATCTGTAAACTGTATTCTAACTATGTTTCTTTTAAGGGTTCGCATATGCTGCTGTAATAGAAGTAAGTGAAAACTCTGCTGTCACTATATCATGCGACCTTAACGTCCAATATCCAACATGGACTGGCCCAGGTGGACTAGCAGACCCTCTTACAAGCGGACAAACGATAAATGAAGCGGGTGTGGAGTGGGTTAACAATAAAGATCTCACGATTGAAAATGCAATGTTAAAACATGACGGCAATTATACGTGTTCAGATAATAATGGTAACAGCAATACTGTTGAAGTTGATGTTCAATGTACACTGATTTATTAGATTTTTTAAAACGTTATCCATGCTTTTCTATATACATGTATTTGTTATAGTGAGTTTAAGATTTAATGTAAAAGAGTGATAATGCGTTACTCAAAAACAAAAAAAACAAAACAAAAGTCTTTTCATGAAAGGCCTTACACCACATTTGCAAATGAGTGAAAAAGCGAAACTTTAATCTATTCTGCACCAGAATGCAGCAATATAATTTTTAAGCTAACCTGATGATATTGCAACTTGTGATATAGTAGTTTCACCTTGTTCTTTTATATCTTTTTTCAGACTTTTCAGCTTGGGCCGAAATATCTGTAGCTTCACCACAGAATACAACAGCAGTGTTTACTTGTGAATGTCACAGTAACCCACCTTGTAAAATAGTTCCTCATGTTTTTTCGCACAACGTGCCTGATAGTGCGCCTACTCACACAACATTCAATCCTTGCGAACCAGTAAGTTCCGCTTCATTGATATGTTATATCATGGAGAATCTGAATTGCGCTTTCTATTTAATTATAAGCAAAATATTCCTTTATCTTTTATATATATTTTAGAGAGTGTTGTTGTTTTTTAGCTCGACTATTCGAAGAATATGGAGAGCTATTGCTGTCGACCCGGCGTCGGCGTCCACGTCGCCGTTTGTTAAAGTTTTTTTGTAAAGTCAAATATCTCAATTATTGTTTGAGATATTCAATTGAAATTTACAATACTTTTTTATAGTAACAATGTACACCAGTTTGCAAAGTTGCATAACTCTGCCTGCAATATTTGCAGAATTATGCCAATTTGAAACTTAGAAATTTTGGTACATGTTAAAGGTCTTAAGAACTTAAGAACTATCTAAGATATGTATTTGAAACTTTACACATGTACTTATGGTCACATATCAAGATCCATTACTCTGCCATGTATTTTGACTGAATTATGCTCCCTTTAGTCCTAAAAAATCTCCTTTTCTTGGTTAAGTTTTACATGCAAGTTTTGCATATCTCTGGAACTTTTAAAGATACATACTTGAAACATCATATGTATATTTGTGGTCATAAGTTATGATCACTGAACAGCACTCATATCTGTGTCATGTATTTAGGCTGATTTATCTCCCCATTCTGTTTGTTAATGTCTACATGTAAATTTTACATATCACAATAACTTTAAGAGAATTTGATTTGAAACTTCACATATGCATGACGGTTCATAATTGTATTTTACTGACCAAGTTCCATAACACTATCTTACATTTAGGCTGAATTATCTATCCTTTTCTACTTAGTCCCTTGGTAAATGTTTACATGTAAGTTTTAAATATCTTAATAACTATCAAAGATATTTATTTAAAACTTTACATATGTATTAAGGGTCATAATTGTAGGTCACTGTCCTAGATCTATAATTCTGTCTTGTATTTAGGCTGATTGAACTTGATATTTAGATTAACATACGTTAAGGTACAATAATTATTACAGAACAGTTATTATCATTTCCTGTCAATACATTTCCTTTTCTAATATGACTGTTCATTCAAACTCCAACACGTTCATTACAAAACTGCTGACTTGTTCCTTGATTTTTAAAGGAATTTGTTGCATATATTTTTATAAACAAAATTAAGGATTCCTGATAATTAAAACTTTTTACACATTTTTGTTCACAGGTAGAGGCCTTTTTATAATTAATGTGTACTCTTGTGTACAGAAGTACCTTTGCTATCATAATTATTCACATCTTTATTAAGACACCTTTACACATTGCAATTTGAGTTTTTGCTTTGATCAAATGTTCATTTGCTTTTATGATATTCAGATTCTTATTGGTAACTTAAGCTTATGATGGCATATTCATATATACTAATAAAAAGTACCAGATGTTTAATATATAACTGCATCTTTTTTAATGAATATTTCAATTTGCAGTACTTCAAACTTCTTTTCAAAAGTCATGTTCATATTAATATTCTGATAAATATTAAATGCATTTCCGCTAAACCAGCCGGGCTAGCGCACCGGTAGAGTGCTGGTCTGTCAAAAGGTAGACATGTATTCAATCCTTGTCCTTTCCATTATTCCAATGCCATTATTTTGATAACTGTTCTTATTGTCGAGCATGCTGTCATCGGACAGCTCTGATTTGCGTATTTCCAAATGTATGCCCCTTTTATACTCAAACTCATGGTTAACTTTTTGCTTGTAAGCTGGTATCTCCCTAACTACTGAAGGGAATGGAATGAAACTTAGTATACATTTTCACTGTGATTTCTTTACATGATTGGCACAGGTCCCATAACTCTGATTAACTTATTTACATATTTATGCTCCATTTTGTACTCAATATCGAAAAGTCGAGCATTGTTGTCCTCCGACAGCTCTTGTTATTACTTGGGGACCATATGCAGCTATTCAGGGAATGGCACAGAAGTCTTCTTTTTTGCAAAACTAAAATGTCCAGGAATTTGGCTTGTAGATTAGCCTTGTTGATCCTGTTCTTATGTAATATAATTGATGAACCGCCTTCTTGGGTCAATCATTTTACACAGGCTAATATACATGTATGCATCACAGTGCATTTTATTCTGGCTTTTAAAATAATCTCCATTTAATCTTTTACCGCATGAGCATGTTGTGAAAAATGGCCATTTTCATTGAAAAGCCTCTTGTGACGAGTTCAAACTGCTATGAAATTATGAAAAATGCTTCGATACTTATGAAACTTGGCAAAAATGTTAACTGGACCAAAGCCTTTGTAACATCATGCTCAATCTTAAATTTCTTGTTACCTTGGCACGGGGAGATGTCTCAAAATTGCCAAAAATCACTATTTTGCCTTTTTTTCCCATCAAAACTGATTTCAAAGTGCTGCAACTTCTCAATGGATTGAGATAGAGTAAAAGGCTTTTCAGCGTCTATTACACGTTCACCTGAGGCCATATTCAGCCTGTGACAGGTCCAAAATCTTCTTGGCGAAATGCTACCGCCCCCTTTCAAACCCCCAAACATGAGTGGGCACATCCCTTTTCTGGCAACCCCTTGGTGTACCTTTTTGATTGGGGGCGGCGCCGATAAAGTAATCACCTTTTTAACAACATTCCTCAAACGATAGTGTTTAGGGGCCTTAATAGCGCACTTTTTCACTACTTGATGCCTCAAAAAGGGGGGATGAAAAGCTGTCAAAACACACCTATATGAGGTAAAAGGTTAATAAAATTATACATTCATACCAAGAAAAAATAAAGATGATTTAATATATCAAGAAATATATACAAACGTATTCAAAAAATGTTTATATAAATAATAGATTTATATACATAGTAAAAACTTCATCTCTTAAACTACAAGATCTAAAGCTTAGTTTTTTTACATGAATCATTATCAAGTAGACCTCGACTAAGTTTGTTTAAATTTATAGCCCTTGGCTCAAAATTTGCCACGTCCCAGAGGGTCATTGATTTTTCTTTTATGAATATAGGAAAAAAAATCTTCTGCTATTATACCATAGAGGTTTTGGCTTAGACATTTGATATGAAATAGTGTCTGGTGGACATCTACAAAAATTTCAAATAATAGCCCTCAGGTCAAAATAAGTCCCGGCCCAAGACACTTTGATTTTCCTTATATGTAAGTAGCAAAAACTAATCTACAAAAGCTAAAGCTTAATTTCCATAACAAACAGTGACCAAGGAAATCATTTATTTTGTATAGCAACCAGTGACAATTGCAACCAGAAATGTTTTTACACATGCACTATTTCAGATACAAATGTGAGCTTTGTGATATCAATTGATGACATAGATTTTTTTATCTGCTTTCCTTAAACAAAGTTTCATTTGTAGTTTATTATATTCAACTGAACAGATTAAATCTTAGATCTTTTTTTCTATAAAGCTCATTTAAGTATCAACGTCAATTCAGAGATTTCACCTGCATTTTTGGCAGTTTAAGTTTGTCATGACGAGCCAACATTTGATTATAATGAGCTTCATTCTGTAGTTAAATAAAGAACATAAACTCATAAAATTGAAATTAAGAGCTATTTTTTTGCCTTTATGAGCTTATTTTGCTTATGGACGTTAGTCCAGGTGGTGCTTATGAGCTCATTTGCCTCATAAACATCAAATTTTGGTATGTCCGAGCACGTTAAACTTGCACGCACATATTGAAATGTCATAAGATACAATGGATATTAATTATTTGCTATAAACATGATTCCCTAATGAATATCAACTTTGTCATCACTTGAGCATATATCATTATTCATAAAATTTAATCAGATTGAACGGAGAAGCAATTATCATATTACAAACAAACCGCCCAAAGAAAATTCATATGTGAATATCACGACAATATTATACATACATATATAATTGTATATCAGATCATCATACGAGCTTCTGTAAAAATGTGAAGACTATTCTAGGACTAACTTTTGTTTTACAAATAACAGAAATAATGAGTTTAACATTACAAAGCAAAATTATGTTTGATATATATCTAATATCAAACTGGTTTCTTGCGCAAGTGTTGCCATACAAAAACTAAAGACTCCGATTAAAATCTCTAAGCTCATAGATTGTCCTTATAACATTCATTTTTTATCAGAAAAGAGATATTGTTTCGAGTTTATTACTCAGTCTTCAAAGATATTGCGATGTAACAATAAATACAAACTTTGTGACATGACTTGTGAATCGTTGATAACTTTGATGCTGTAGACAGATAGGACTATGTATGCAATACATGCTCGAAATTCAGGCGCATTAAGTTAAAATATATTTCCACAGTGCATTTAAAAACAACAATTATATATTTTTGCTTAAAACAATAATTGGAGGATATTTTTTCGTTTGAGTGAAATATGGAATATATTTTCACGAAACATGATAAAATGTCACATATTTTCACGAGCCAGGACGGCGAGTGAAAATATGTGGCATTTTATCATGTTGTTTTATCATGTTTTATTATCAAAGAAAATGCTTACAAACCCTCTTGCTTGCTACGCAACTGCAATTGTACAGCGCGCAGTAATATAATTATTGTTTTGATATGCTCGCAATATTTAGCGCTACATTGTGACGTCACGTAAACAACCCTTTAAACGTCTGTACAGCGTTAATGACTGAATGTAGGGCATTGGTGTCCAGATTTATTTTCTTAGTTAGACCATTTTCTATAATTTTAAAACAAAATTCAACAAAAAGTTGTTTAGTATTTATCAGATTTCTCAAACAAAATGGCGAAAGAAGTCCCTTAAAATATATATGAGTTTTGACTCCGCCCACTTTCATATATATATTTCATATTTATTTTAAAAAATATGAAATATATTTGACTGATATAGCACCATATCTCATGGGTAAAATTAAATAATACTCCAATATTTTACATAGGATCCAACTCGTCAAAATCGAATGAAGTGTAGCACTATTGCAACGTTAGGAATGGCAAAAGAATATAACGGTCTCCATGAAAATAGTTGCAAGTTCTCGTACAAAGGCACCGAGGACTATATGACGACATCTCCAGAAAATAAGTTCTACTGTAAGTCAGGCGTTGATTTAACCTTTTTATTAAACATGCTCGGATACATTCAGAGTTTTTGATATCAACTGACTTGATACATTATATTCCAAATGGCTTTAGCAGGACCATAATTTGTGACGAGTATCTAAAGTTTATCTCATCAGTCTCTTATACAGACTCTGCTGAAGTTCTAAATTTCTAAATATTTTTTCAAATTTCTAGAATCATAATGAACTTTTTTCGAATTCAAAATAGGGCACGCCAATTGTACAAATCCAATAAAGGGATGTTGCCAAACTGTTAAAAGATTATACATATTACAAAATCATTCAAATTAGAACACATGTTTTACTTTAGATTTGCGTTTCTTTCGTCTTACATTTATACAAATATCATACACGGAGTCTTGGACTGATAAAATTCATTTGTAAATGCGAGAGTTCGTCATGATAGAAAAATATAATTATTATTATGGAAAATAATTTTGAAATGAAATGAAACGATGTTACGCATTTCCATTTTCAGTTCCACCAACATTTGTCAACATAACTGGAGAGAAAGATGGTAAAACTGTGACCTTAAACTGCACAACCGATTCTTCGAACCCAGTAGCTGTATTAAACTGGTATAAGGGGGATAAAGATGTAGCCTCCGATAACTTTAGGGTCATAAGCAACTATCAAAAAGTCATTGTTGACGCGGAGTATCATGGTAAAAATATAACGCAATCTCTCGATATCAACGTAGATGATGTTAAGGATGGAGAGAAGGCTTTCTGTTGTGCGAAACAAGTGCAAACCGAGATCTGTGACTCTTTTCTATTGACACCATTTAGAGAAACATGTGAGTATCAAAAGAATCTAGCAATCCCAATCAATTTAATATCCAACAGATATATGTTACCAAAGCCAGTAAGGCATGCTCAATAAAAGGATACAAAAGGGATTGTGTTTTGTTTGTATAATTATGTATTTCTTTCATTAGATAATTTATTTGCAAGGTTAAATAAATGAGGTAAATTTGGTTATACATCTATTGTATATGATTTACTTGTGGATAAGAATTCCTAGTGTCATTTCTTAAGTACTTACTAGCGTATACCCTGCTTGAATTACGAATTGTAAGCCTCTGTTCGTAAGGTCATATTTGACTAAAATAATTAACAAATAGATTTACTTTACATACCAAGTTTAAAATAATTAACAAATACATTTACATCCCGAGTTTAGAATAAATAACAAATAGATTTATTTTACATCCCGAGTCATCTTTCGATGACTTAAAAAATTGCCTATGATGGTATGATGAAGTAGAAAGTAATTTCTTTTTAGCAGAATACCTTGTCCATGTATTATTTTTCTGATAAAGAATATAATTCACCCACAGCGGTGAGGAACAAGTGGATTGATGTCAACGACTTAAACCACTCGACCACGGACGCCCCCTTATACAATTGCGTACACTTGTGTATTATTTAGGAACATTCATAAAGGACCAATATCATTGATGATTTACTAAATACCAAGGAAAGGTTTTACAAAAGTATTTGATATTTGATATCTAGTCCATTAATGCAATGCTGCAAGATAGCTATATTATTTATTGAATGAATAAAGTTTAACTTTTATATAGATTTTATATATAAAGATACCTCAGCATAGGCACATATAATTTTCTTAATTGTACGATATTGTACATGTATCAATTTTTACAACGATTCATACAGGTAAATTTCAAGTTAGAGAAAGATAGAATAAGTCAGCATAGTGTATTATCTTGTAAGAACACTGTGTAAAAAGGGACTCCATTGAGGTTTTTGTCATGATGGGGCTAAGAATATTTTTTTCCAGATAAATGTACCATTTGATTAAGACCACTTTAGACCACTAATCTTTGCGCAAAATTTCAGATCATTCGCGCACTTCATTTTTCCAGAGTAATTATTCAAATAGTATAAAAATGACCCAAAATGAAAAGCGTTTAAACGCTTTTCACTCAAATCGGGCAAGGAAAAGCATACAAATATATTTTTCAATTTATTTCAAAGTATATTTCTTAACTATCTTTGCTGTTTAAAATGTCCCACATTATTTATGTAAGACTTCAAATGTTATGTTTTAAACTTCAGTGGAGTCCCTTTAAGGACCACCACACATAACATTAATTTTCATCAAGGACACTATATTTCATTAACTTATTAACTCATTGTTGAAAGACGCTTGCATGTGATTACAGTGACTTTGTTTTTCAAAACTCGATGCAATTGCAAAATTGTTGGTGTGTATTCATGCATTATTTTTAAGTCACTTAAGATAGTATAATGGCAGTTTTTATGGTGCGTTAACCGAAATTTGCATTCTATCCGAAATTGACATTTTTATTATTATGGTTACTTTTGAAAATTCGTTTTAATTATTTTTCACATCTGGCCACCGTTTACTATATTTTCACGGGTGACTACGCCAACTATGGCAGTATGGTATATCAGGCTTTGACTCAGTGAAAATAAATTGTATTGTTGCATGTATGCCACCAAGTATTCTTTCTTTTTCAAAGTTTTAAGTCTGTATAATTGCTCCAAACATTTAGATAATAAAAAAATCAAATTAAGTACAATAAATCTGTAAACTGTATTCTAACTATGTTTCTTTTTAGGGTTCGCATATGCTGCTGTAATAGAAGTAAGTGAAAACTTTGCTGTCACTATATCATGCGACCTTAACGTCCAATATTCAACATGGACTGGCCCAGGTGGACCAGCAGACCCTCTTACAAGCGGACAAACGATAAATGAAGCGGGTGTGGAGTGGGTGAACAATAAAGATCTCCCGATTGAAAATGCAATGTTAAAACATGACGGCAATTATACGTGTTCAGCTAATAATGGTAACAGCAAGACTGTTGAAGTTGATGTTCAATGTACGTACACTGATTTATTAGATTTTTTAAAACGTTATCCATGTTTTTCTATATACATGTTTTTGTTATAGTGAGTTTAAGATTTAATGTAAAAGAGTGATAATGCGTTACTCAAAAACAAAATCAAAACAAAAGTTTTTTCATGAAAGGCCTTACACCGCATTTGCAAATGAGTGAAAAAGCGAAACTTTAATTTATTCTGCACAACAATGCGGCAATATAATTTTTTAAGCTAACCTGATGATATTGCAACTTGTGATATAGTAGTTTCATCTTGTTCTTTTATATCTTTTTTTCAGACTTTTCAGCGTGGGCCGAAATATCTGTAGCTTCACCACAGAATACAACAGCAGTGTTTACTTGTGAATGTCACAGTAACCCACCTTGTAAAATATTTCCTCATGTTTTTTCGCACGTTAACGTGCCTGATAGTGCGCCTACTCACGCAACATTCAATCTTTGCGAACCAGTAAGTTCCGCTTCATTGAAATGTTATATCATGGAAAATCTGAATTGCGCTTTGTATTTAATTATAAGCAAAATATTCCTTTATCTTTTATATATATATTAGAGAGTGTTGTTGTTTTTTAGCTCGACTATTCGAAGAATATGGAGAGCTATTGCTGTCGCCCCGGCGTCGGCGTCCACGTCGCCGTTGGTTAAAGTTTTTTAGTAAAGTCAAATATCTCAATAATTGTTTGAGATATTCAATTGAAATTTACAATCCTTTTTTATAGTACACCAGTTTGCAAAGTTGCATAACTCTGCCTGCAATATTTGCAGAATTATGCCAATTTGAAACTTAGAAATTTTGGTACATGTTAAAGGTCTTAAGAACTATCTAAGATATTTATTTGAAACTTTACACATGTACTTATGGTCATAATTAAAGGTCACATATCAAGATCCATTACTCTGCCATGTATTTTGACTGAATTATGCTCCCTTTAGTCCTAAAAAATCTCCTTTTCTTGGATTTTTGCATATCTCTGGAACTATTAAAAATACATACTTGAAACATCATATGTATATTTGTGGTCATAAGTAATGATCACTGAACAGCACTCATATCTGTGTCATGTATTTAGGCTGATTTATCTCCCCATTCTCTTTGTTAATGTCTACATGTAAGTTTTACATATCACAATAACTTTAAGAGATTTTGATTTGAAACTTCACATATGCATGACGGTTCATAATTGTATGTCACTGACCAAGTTCCATAAAACTATCTTACATTTAGGCTGATTTATCTCCCCTTTTCTACTTAGTCCCTTGGTAAATGTTTACATGTAAGTTTAAAATATCTTAATAACTATCAAAGATATTTATTTAAAACTTTACATATGTATTAAGGGTCATAATTGTAGGTCACTGTCCAAGATCTATAATTCTGTCTTGTATTTAGGCTGATTGAACTTGATATTTAGATTAACATACGTTAAGGTGCAATAATTATTACAGAACAATTATTATCATTTCCTGTCAATACATTTCCTTATCTAATATGACTGTTCATTCAAACTCCAACACGTTCATTACAAAACTGCTGACTTGTTCCTTGATTTTTAAAGGAATTTGTTGCATATATTTTTATAAACAAAATTAAGGATTCCTGATAATTAAAACTTTTTACACATTTTTGTTCACAGGTAGAGGCCTTTTTATAATTAATGTGTACTCTTGTGTACAGAAGTGCAATTTGACCGAAAGTGTACTTTGTTCAAAAGAGTTTTTGCTTTGATCAAATGTTTATTTGCTTTTATGATATTCAGATTCTTATTGGTAACTTAAGCTTATGATGGCATAGTCATAAATACTAATAAAAAGTACCAGATGTTTAATATATAACTGCATCTTTTTTAATAAATATTTCAATTTGCAGTACTTCAAACTTCTTTTCAAAATTCATGTTCATATTAATATTCTGATAAATATTAAATGCATTTCCGCTAAACCAGCCGGGCTAGCGCAGAATGCCGGTCTGTCAAAAGGTAGACATGTATTCAATCCTTGTCCTTTCAATTATTCCAATGCCATTATTTTGATAACTGTTCTTATTGTCGAGCATGCTGTCATCGGACAGCTCTGATTTGCGTATTTCCAAATGTATGCCCCTTTTATACTCAAACTCATGGTTAACTTTTTGCTTGTAAGCTGGTATCTCCCTAACTACTGAAGGGAATGGAATGAAACATTTGTCAACATTACTGGAGAGAAAGATGGTAAAACTGTGACCTTAAACTGCACAACCGATTCTTCGAACCCAGTAGCTGTATTAAACTGGTACAAGGGGGATAAAGATGAAGCCTCCGAGAACTTTAGGGTCATAAGCAACTATCAAAAAGTCATTGTTGATGATGTTAAGGATGGAGAGAAGGCTTTCTGTTGTGCGAAACAAGTGCAAACCGAGATCTGTGAATCTTTTCTATTGACACCATTTAGAGAAACATGTGAGTATCAAGAGAATCTTGCAATCCCAATCAAATTAGTATCCAACAGATATATGTAAGGCATGCTCAATAAAAAGGATACAAAAGGGATTGTGTTTTGTTTGTATAATTATGTATTTCGTTCATTAGATAATTTATTTGCAAGGTTAAATAAATGAGGTAAATTTGGTTATACATCTATTGTATATGATTTACTTGTGGATAAGAATTCCAAGTGTCATTTCTTAAGTACTTACTAGCGTATACCCTGCTTGAATTACGAATTGTAAGCCTCTGTTCGTAAGGTCATATTTGACTAAAATAATAAACAAATAGATTTACTTTACATACCAAGTTTAAAATAATTAACAGATAGATTTATTTTACATCCCGAGTTTAGAATAAATAACAAATAGATTTATTTTACATCCCGAGTCATCTTTCGATGACTTAAAAAATTGCCTATGATGGTATGATGAAGTAGAAAGTAATTTCTTTTTAGCAGAGTACATTGTCCATGTATTATTTTTCTGATAAAGAATATAATTATCAAGTATTTAAATATACTATTGTAAACCTGTTACATAATCAAAAATGATATAAAGCCCTCCAAAGGTTTGACATAAAACATTTAAGTTTACATCTTACATTATCACAAAATCAATGGCTTGATACGCTAACAAACTTGTATGTTGTTTTTTTACAGCTGGTTGTCACAGTTTTACAGCCCGGATGACTTTGATTATTGTTTGCGTCGCTGTCGCAATCATTTGAGGAAACGGCATAACGTACTCTTTAAAAACAACTATCAAAAAATATCATGAATTGACAATAACATATATGAGCTATCACCATTTATTCATATGATCATTAACATCAATTTATGTTCTCAAATCGATTGTATTTCTATTATTTTTGGATATATAGCGATATATTTTTTCGTTGCAGATTTTCTAATTGATGCAATTTATTTAAGCAAGTTGATAAATATATATAACATTGTAATATCGTGTTGTATTCATTCACTTATAAAGCATTTGATAAATTATTTGTATGGTATTTTAACATGTACCAACATGGTGTTCTCAAGAACTTCCTACTTCTTTTTAGGAGTTACGTAAAACAGAGACCTAGGACATAATAGAATATAGTCTCCAAACAAACCAAGAAAGTGATACAAAATCATAACTCTGCATCACTTAGATTTTTGAATTATATCCCCTTGTGATAAATAATAATGCTCTTTAAAAGTATTGAAATACTTTTCTAAGATATATAATTAACTAAATAGATAAGAATAATGTCATGCTAAAGATCCTGTGTGTTGTATTTAAGGACTTAAGATAGGTGGTGGTGTTGATTTTTATTCACTCCGGATAACGGCAGTAAGCCACATTTAATTAATAAGAGCACAGTTCAGCCACCATATCGTTCCTGAGGAGGCTTAGTATTAGTTGCCTTCACCTTCGCAAGGAACTGAAATTACTGTACATTCCAGAGCAGAGGTATATTGCCTAGGACCGTACAAACGATTTCATGATCAATTGCAATGAGCGGGAATCGAACTCGAAACGATTATTTTTTTACATTTTAATGTATTTTAAACTAATGTCTGTAAAATAATGTAGTTCATTTTGTATCTATCTACAAGGCTTGGTTTTAAACCATATGACCACACATTGTTCATAAAGCTTAAATGTTTATAAAATATATTAGTATTTCGCTTTAATATATGTCATATTTACTATTTTGAGATAAGAACGTAAACTAATATAAAGCAAAATAAAACAATTCATATTTCAAAAAGAAAACGTTATGATTATAAACAATTATTTTATTTATATATTTTACATAATAGTTCAGCCCCCGTTCCCCCTCTACAAACCAAAACCCTTTTAAACATCATAAGTATCCTTTACAGTTAAGTGCAAAAAAATAAAAGGGTTCATTCAAAAGTAATGTAAAAACTATCCGAGGTCCTAAGCTTTAAGAGTTTGAGATCAAAGTAGCTTACAATATGTCATATTTTATAAAGTGGCCAATTAGAAATTCGTAGATGTATTTACATGTAGCCTGTATACTACTGAATGAACATACATTTTACGCACTAAATAGCAATGCACTGGATGAATGATTGAATCTAAGTACGAAATTTAAATTTCAGGGATTGAAATAAATAAAAATCATTTATTTTTCCTTACCAACATTTGGTATCGTATTCACAACAGTAGTATCCGTCCTCACAATAGGTTAAATATGAGCAGTATTCCCCGCTAATTACACCTAGAAAATATGAAGTGTAATTGTGTCTTTAAACAATGTTCATGTGTGCATTTAGGTTTTGTGGGATAGATACATGCACATAGAACAAATAACTATAGTAAAAAGTAGAAGGCAAGTCAGAAAGGGATTGTGGCAAAAGTGAACAAATGATAAATTATGTTTGTCATTCAAATAGTCTTAAAAAATATATAAATACTTCTATGACTTTATTAACACAAACATGTTAAATTCTGCTCATTTTCATTGTATTTTCTAAATACATGCTTGTAAAAGAGTGCAATCATGGAATTCATCACAGGCCAAATTGTGGATTTTATCTGGGAACCTGGACGCGCCCTATTGATATTACTGTTTATTAAAAATTTTCTCAGTATTTTTGGGGGGTGAGGGTTACTCATTGTTCCAAAATGTATTTCATTTTGTTTGTTTGTTTGTTTTTTTTGTTTGTTTTTTTTGTCATATTACATGCACATAATATCATAAAGAGCAATGAGCATATTGTATGTTTATGCTGTATAAACTCTTGAAACTATGTAAAGCTGATATTTTTCTGATGTCCTCAACCGCATACGCCGATCGATACACAATTTTTACCTTTTTTTTCATAGACCGTGATGCCAAATACACCATCGGACAGAAAATTTAAATGTTCTAGAATTATGTTCATAAAATTCATAAATAATGATAAAAGAATTTAAAATGGCGAAAATGACTGTTCTTAAATAGTTTATGCGCTTACAAAATCGACGAAGGACAGGCGTAGAGCAATTAAAAATATTTACAGAAGCCGAATTTACATTAAGTCGTCGCCAAAAGTTCTTTTAAAAAATATTAATTCTTCCCTTTGAAACTTGCTTAAGATAGAAAATGAAAGCAGAAATGGCTAGCGAATAACTATCGTCTGTCATTTTGTTTTTTTATTTATTTTCTTTTTCTTTTATTTATTTTTATTCTTAATTTTTTCATTTAATTTACTTTTTTGTCTTTTCTCAATACAAATTGATACAACAGTCTTTATCTTTTATAATGATCCTTTAAATGAATGAATCTGAAATTTGTTCTTAATGGCTCCTTTTTATGAATTTATTTGTTCAAGTTTATTTACGTCTTCCCAGATTTTATTAATTTTTTATTATGTTCAGTGATTTCTTGAAATCATAAATGTCTTGCATAACTACATGAAATCAGACAAAATCATTCGATTCGTCTTAAATTCATACGTCATGGTATTTGTTGCTAACAGTTGTAGCATAGTTCGGACAGACATTTTGTCTGCGTCACTGTCTCTATGTTGCCCCGATGTGAGATACTCCAATCATAAATAGATTATCCTTTAAAATCTTATTAATAAATTTTAAGTCAATACAAAGATAGTAGAGCGCAAATTTATCCTTACAGTTCTTTATTAGTGTTATCAATAAAAAAGGATATTATTCGTTGAATTAATCTTAACCAGATGACAATTTAGAATACAGTAAAAACGATTTATTCACACCGAAAGCAACTGTGACCACGTCACCACAAAAGACAACGTACACTTCCTACATGAGCCAAAATACATCGACAGATGTAAGTTATTTTGTGATTATTTTTCTATGAGCGGATTAACTGGTATATTATTCTACATAGCCTACCGACCGCGGCATTTCCGATGCTTTCTGAATATGCATTTGGTGTCGTAGTATAGTTCGGACAGACATTTTGTCTACGTCACTGTCTCTATGTTGTCCCTATGTGAGATACTCCAATCATAAATAGATTATCCTTTAAAATCTTACTTATAAATTATAAGTCATGAAACGTTATAAGTCAATACAAAAATAGAAGAGCGCAAAATTATTCTTACAGTTCTTTATTAGTAGTATCAATAAAATAGTAATAGGATATTAATTGTGCAATTAATCCTAATCAGATGACAATTTAAAAATACAGTAGAAACGATTTATTTAGTAACTTTTGCTATTCGCTGAATAAACTTATTGATAAAAGTTCAAAATATTATTTCCGTTCTCTTTCGGTTATAATCCTTCAAATTCGATCGGAAATGTACTCTTAGACTTACCAAATATTTTAGATATTTCTCATAACCTATATAATTGTCACCAATATAATAAACACTCTTAAACAATTTACTTATATACTTATATTTACTTCATTAGTTTAAAATTTATAAAGAAAAACGCACATGGTAACATACAAAAATAGAAATATTTTGCAACTTGTCAACAGACTGTTACTGGGGTGGATGGAGTGTTATATATACTTTTTTATTTTTAATATATTATCTGATTCCAGTCAACTCCTGTTAAAGTGGTATTGTTTAACATGCGGGTTCAGAAAGTTACATACATCTATATCTTTTGGATTTAGAAAATGAACTTGGAGATTCGGGTGAAAATGTATAATCGTTTCCCTGTAATACAAACATGAAATAAATAAATGTATAACTTTTATCTTTCGCATCTTAAACTCCTTTGAAAGAATACGATGTACGGTGCCTACACTCATGTCGGCAATCTCCGACACTAGCATAAAACTTGCATAAAAAATTACCCCCAAAATATGCATGCTCAAACACATGTACGCAACACAAGGTCATCTTAACAGCGCCTTTTCTAACTTAACTTTAAAATGCCATTTCTGTAATATGTATATTTTCATTAACACTATTTATTTGGATAATATAAAATTAGAAAAATAAATCTATACCATCCAAATATCAATACATGTACTAGTATAACAACCACTTTTTTGGAAATGCTTCCATCTGAATCTGCCAAATGAGTCAGTAAATATAAAAGGACTGATAATTGAAAATATTAACAATGTTCTCAACAATCTATTAATCTAGATATAGATACTTTTTATGAAGTTTAAGAGCATAATAATATCAGTATTACAAAAAAAACATCCCTCATTTCGAGAAGTTATTGGGGATATCTGTCTGTCATATATTGCGAATCAAGTCGAAATATTCTTCCCGTTTGTCCCTAGGGATCTGCACATCATCCTAGGCAAGCAGTTTTTATTCTTAAATACGCCGAAACAACGTCATGTTAACGCGGTTAATTTATGCGCTATGATGACGCAGTTGTGTATTGTGCAACTCACGTATGCATCAAACATGTAATCCTTTTCCGTAATCTTGGCTACCAGGTACATGTGTCACAATAGGGACTACGATGGGATACCAGGCCGACCACAATTGCTATCTAAAACAACCAACAACTCAGAACAGAAAATATATACAAATTTATTTACAAGAAACGAATATTTATAAATGAAAAATGATTATATATGAAAAATCACTGCGCAAACAAACACTATCAACGTATCTCAGTCTATTTCTCCCGTAAAGTTTATGTCATGATGTTTCAATAAAGTGGTGGCGTTGTTGAACAAACCTCGTCACAATGGCGGGCGTCTTGTATAAAATCTTATCAAGCGTAACTGTACTTCCTACAGTGTTGGCACAGTTGATAGGATCCTGAACAAGGGCATGCGTCACCCTTTAGCCATGGACATACGTGTGGAGGGCCCGTGTCATCTTCGGGTGTGTCCTCAAATAAGAAGCTACAAAGTATAAAACATGGCAAGTTCCATATTGGGCATCGGTTCCGCATCAAATACCGTGCATTTATTGATCTGTCTAAAATCAATACAGAACCTCATCGTGTTATCCTTTTTCCTGATAAGGACAATTGGACTAGAAAACGGAGCATTAGAAGGTTCGATAACTCCTAACTCTAGCATTTTATCAACTTCTTCCTTTACTATCTGCTGTGAGTGAAAAGGAATAGGATAACCCTTAGTCCTTACAGTTCTGGCGTAGTCAACTTAATGTCATGCTGAACTAATGACGTATTTCCGGGTATATCTGTTAAAACATCTGAAAATTTCTTTAACAAGGTTGCAATCTGAGTGTTACAATCTGTTTGTAAGTCAGGATTGACCTGAACATCTTGTCTCTGAACCTTTCTCCAATGGACATAACAATATGTCACTATCATCTTGGTAACTTGTTTCTAAACTATCATCTTCCTCTAATCTATCATACCCATTTTCCGCTTCTACAACAGCTGCACTTACCTTTGCCAATGCACCTCGTTCTGGTTCGAAATTTCTTTCAACATACTCCTTCAGCATATTGGCATGGAAAGTTTTGATCTTATTGTTACCTATGTCTATCCGATAATCTAATTTGTTCACGACCTCGGAAACTACAAATGGACCTTTCCATTGTAACAACAACTTATTGCGTTTTGTAGGTATAAGAACCAGTACTTTACTTCCTTCTTAAAAGTTCTATTTCTAGCTTTCCTGTTGTAATACTTTCTATACCTAATACTGCTCTTCTCTAACTCCTGCTGTGCTATCTTACATGTACTTTCTAGTCTTTCTTGCAAATCAACTACATACTGATAAGTTGTCTTAACTTCGTCATTCTCTGTTTTTCCCTGACCATAACTCTCTCAAAATGGTAATTGGACCTCTTATACTACGTCCATATAACAATTCAAATGGCGAGAATCCTAAACTCTCTTGTGGAACTTCCCGATACGCAAACAACATAGCATTCAAATACTTCATCCCAATCTGTAGGTCTTTCACTACACATCCGTTTCAA